GGCGCCCCGTTGCTTCGCGGCTCTTCCTGACTCTCTGTCCCCCTTTTTTCCTCTCTGCCGTCTCCGCAGCCAAACGCAAAATGTGGAAATTAAAAAGCTTTGGTAGTTTAAGAAATATTTATAAAACAGGTAACGTGGCTCCGCGCCCCGCATGCGCCTGCGCCCCCCCGGCCCCCGCCTGCCTGCCGCCCTCGCACCGCCGCGACCCCAAAGCCACGGGGATGGGGGGCCTCTATGGGGTGACCTCTCTATGAGGGGGTCTCTACGGGATGACCCCACTATGGGGTGATGCCTCTATGGGGGGGGTCTCTATGGTGTGACCCCACTATGGGGTGACCTTTCTATGGGAGACCCTTCTGTGGGGTGACCCCTATATGGGGAGGCCTCCATGGGTGACCCCACTATGGGGGATCTCTATGGGGTGACCCCTCTATGGGGCGATGCCTCTATGGGGGGGGTCTCTATGGGGTGACCCCACTATGGGGTGACCTTTGTATGGGAGACCTTTCTACAGGGTGACTCCTGTATGGGGAGGCCTCCACGGGTGACCCCACTATGGGGTCTCTATGGGGTGACCCCTCTATGAGGGTCTCTATGGGGTGGCCCCTCTATGGGGTCTCTATGGGGTGATCTCTCTATGGGGTCTCTATGGGGTGAGCCCATGTGGGGCCCCATGGCAGCGCTCCGTGCCCCCGCAGAGGAGGAGAACTTTGAGTTCCTGATCGTGTCCAGCACGGGGCAGACGTGGCACTTTGAGGCCGGCAGCTTCGAGGAGCGCGACGCCTGGGTGCAGGCCATCGAGAGCCAGATCCTGGCCAGCCTGCAGGGCTGCGAGAGCGGCAAGAACAAGGTGGGGCCGAGGGCTGGGGGCGGGCGGGGGGGGGCCGGGGTCGCCTGCTGTCCTGGCTGTTGTCACCCGGCCGTTGTCACCCGGCGTCCCCAGGCGCGCGTGGACAGCCAGAGCGAGGCCGTGGCCATCCAGGCCATCCGCAACGCGCGGGGAAACTCGGTGTGCGTGGACTGCGGGGCACCCAGTGAGTGGGGATGGGGGGGGAGATGGGATGGG